AAGATGGTGTGACACCAAGGTTTTATTTGGAAAATGGTTTTCATTTGCTAATTAATTTTTTTTCTTATTCAGATTGATTTAGTGACCTTCGTCGGCTTTGTTGGTGGTGGTGTACTGGTCTTGCACTTCTTACTGGACATAGTAGTGGTTTACGTTTCAAATAGTGAATTTTCGAATAGTGAATTTACATTTTTTTTTGTTTGGTAGTTTTGTGTTGTGTTAGTAGTGAATTAAGTATGTTTTTAATGAATTTCAATAAGTTTGTTATGGATTATGTTAATATTAAAGTGGATTACGTTGATTTTACAGTGAATTTTACAATAACTTTAGAGTGGTTTTCGATAAATTTGGATTAGTTTTCGATGAAATAATGGATTTTAATTTTCGTAACCGGGTGGAAAAAATAAAAAAATATATATATAAAAGAAAAAAAATAAAAAAATTGGACGTTAAAAATCATATTTTTTAAACTCGGTGGAAAAAATAAATAAATAAATAAAAATACTGAAATTAAATAAAAAAAATATTTTGTTTTAACATTGTAATAAAAAAAACAAAAAAAAAAACAAAAAAAAAAAAGAATAAAAAAACTTTTCTTTTTGAAATAGAATAATTAAATAAACGTAAATCATATATAATAGTATGATAGGATTTGTTGTGGATTTCAATAAATGTGAGGAGTTATTTTGGAAAGAGAGTTTGCTAGGGGCATTTAAGATAATTTGAGTCAAATGGACTTATGTCAAATATCAATTATTAAAAATGGATTTTTAATAAAGTCAAAATTGAATAAGGGGTGTTTGTCAAATAGCTATAAAATAATCTAAGTAGAAGAAAATTCTTTTTAAAAAGGGGCTCTTTGACATAACCCTCCCATTACTTTTTTTAATGGGATAGGCCCAAAATATTTTAGACCATTTGATAAAAGCTCATGTTCCAATTTCAGCCATTATGTTTTCCAGCTTTACCCCCGCCCGCCATCTCATCACTGGGTCACGTGCTCCGCGAATTTTTTTTTCCGGTTTTTTTAATCGACTGTGAAGCATAGTCGATTAGTCTTAAATCGACTGTGCTACATAACCGATTAAGGAAATTCTTAATTTTTAAATTTTTTTTTTGTTCTTTAATTTATTTTTTTATTTCAGGTTTATTAATTGACTATGATGAAGCATAGTCGATCAAAAGTCTGCTACTAAAAATAACAAATCAAAACTGCAAAAAATTGCAAAATCAACTATATTTTACAAAAAAAACAAAAATATGAGAACATTATAATTGATTTATACAATTGGAATCAATACACAAAAAAACCAAAAAAAAAAAAAAGATCGGAGTCGATCAACCTTAATCGATACCAGCGCATAGTCGATTAAGAATCTGCTACTAAAAATAACAAATCACAACTGCGAAAAAATGCAAAATGATCTATATATTACAAAAACAAAAAATATACAAACATTATAATTGATTTATACAATTGAAATCAATAAACGAAAAATCCAAAAAAACTAAAAAAAAAAAAAATTGGAGTCGATCAACCTTAATTAATCGACTACCAGAACATAGTCGATTAACTTAATCGACTATGAATATGTACATAGTCGATTAAGGTTTCAGCATGCGCGAAATTCTCTACACGCGCCGTCCTCCGTCCGATCCACAAAAAAACTCAAAATCAGTCTCCCCCGTCGTCACCACACCGCCGGACTTGGTGGGAATTTCCTTTTCCCCTTGGCTGAAAATATAAATGCGATAATTACAGTAATGAAGAGAGAAAGGAGAGCATATATCCAGATTTGTTTATGAATTACTTCACACCCAAGTTCTGGTCAAACTCAAACCCCTTCTTCTCCACCATCTTCAGAAACCGCAAGCCCCGCTACTTCAACACCTGAATGAGTAATGGTGATCGACCTCGCCAAGTGGAGGAGCCACCGCTTCACGCGGAAGCTCGAGTACTGCTCATCCAGAAGAGATACAAGATCTACGAGCTGGGATCTCTGCCGCCGTTTCTGCCCGTCTTCGCCGGAAACGTGGAAGCGGTGGAACGACAAGGGGACGGTGGTGGTCGGTGAGGATCTGGCGGCGGTAGCGGTGGACGGAGGGGGAGAGGCAGTGGCGGTGGTGAAAGGCAGGTGAATTTGGGAAAGAGAAATTAGGGTTTCAAAATAGTATACTGACAATTAAGGGTAGATTTGGAATTATAAAAATAATATTTAGTGGAATACTAACCAAGGGGGTTTTCTCAAATTATTTTTGGAAGGGGGGTTTTCTTAACTACATTTACTAGATGAGGGGGGTCTTGCTAACAATCCCTTTTAAAAAAACATAGAGGAAAATACATTATGGCCTAAAAATTGGGTATAATAGGCATCACATTAAATCCCGGTGCTAATCTGCAGCAAAAGAAACAGATAGAAACAGAATCGCAACCAACACGTCATTTTTTTTTCTAAAACCCATGTATCCTTTCGACCGAATTTCGCGGATGCATCTCGGTTTTTTATTCATCCATGTTTTTTTTATGGTTGACTGGACCGGTTAAGTGATCGGTTCAAGGTTCAATCGGTCTGGTTTGAACAACCACAAAGGTTACTGATTACTCACTCCGTTCCAAATTAACTATCGTTTTGGGGAATTTTTCTTGTTCCATATTACCTTTCACTTTAGAATTTCAATAATGCATTAGTAATTAGTTACTATTTTCTCAATTTTTTCCCTTTTTACTATTAATTAATTGAGAAACTGAGAGCGAATAAATGGAAACAACATTCATAACATGAATATTTTAGTCATTCTATATATTTTTCTCTAAAATCGATGCACAGTTATTAGTTTTCTTAATATGTGCGCAAAAACCCAAAGCAACACACAGAGGGGGGAAACAGGATTTTTCGGTAGCGGGGGGCCGAAAACTTTAGAGAGTTAATAAAAATATGGCGGGATTCGGGGGGTTTGACCCCAAATTTTTTTAGGGATATTTATGAAGAAACCAACACAAATAAGTAATGAATAATAGATACTGTTGTCAAAACAATATTCATAAACTTATATAAAATAAATTGTAATATAGTATATATTTAGTTGAATAAGTAAAAATGTTTAAAAAAATCTTGAAATACATAGAAATTCGATAGATTGGAAACTTTAAACATTGAGAAGAAGGAAAAAAAATACTTTCTTATTTATGTAATATTATTTTTTATCATAAGCTTTAATAGAGATTAGGGATTGAGATTCTAAAAAATATTTTATAAGATAAATTATAATAGAAAGTTAAATTTTAAAGATGGAAATAATAATTTATTTTTTAATGTGGGCCATATATAAATATTTGTAAATAAAAAATCAATATTTAATAATAGATAAAAATAAATATACCAACCAATTACTAATTATTTGTGTATATATCCATGCAATATATATAAGTATTAGTATATATATATATATATATATATATATATATATATATATATATATATATATATATATATATATACAAATACATATATGTCTCTCTATTGAAATGATATTTTACTAGAATGGCTCTAGGGAATTGAAATTTCTTGGCAAGTGCCCATATATATAGAGGGAGAGACATATCTATATATTTTTTTTTATATATATATATATATATATATATATATATATATATATATATATATATATATATATATATATATATATATATATATATATATTTATATATATATATATATATATATATATATATATATATATATATATATATATATATATATATATATATATAATATATATATATATAAATCAAATTTTTTTTATATATATATATATATAAATCAAATTTTTTTTTTGAATTCTATCACTCATCCAGTCAAAGTCGACCACTCATCTAGTCAAAGTCTACCCCTATATAAATTGAGCGAATGGCAAAAAGGCCCATCACATGGGACTTAAATGCATTTTGGTCCACAAAAAAATAGTCTATCAATTAAACCCATCCTCATGTCTTTAGTCTAAAATATCCTTCATAATATAATTCTTATCAATTCCACCCATTATGCTCTAACTTTCTTAATATTACACATTGACCCCGGATTTAAACAAATATATCACATTAACCCCCAAAACTTTTTTTTTTCAGAAAATAATTTTTTTTCTGAAATATTTTTTTTCCGGCCAGATTCCGGCGTTGACTGTGAAAACATTACAGTCAACGCCGGAAACTAGTAATCATATAAACAGCGTTGGATTACTTGCCAAAAACACATATGTCACAAGTTGGATTACTTGCTAAAAATACCCTTACACACGCCGGAAATCATTGCTTATGCTAACTAACCGGAAACTCTTTTGTTTAATTTTTTTCCTTTATGTTTTGCAACTCAAAATCATTTATAATGTTTGATGGGTGCTTCCTCTTCTTTCTTTCTCCATCTTCCGGCGACGGCGGCGGCACCGGCGGAGAAGATTGCCGGAAAACATAGAGAAAAAAAAACAGAGGAGAGAAAACAAATAAGAGAGAAAAGCTAGAAACGTAAAAACGGCGGAATGAAAACTTAAAAAGAAGATTAGGATTTTGAAAGAGTATAATAGATAATTAAGGGTAGTTTTTACACTACTAGAAAAACTAGATATAGTGACGCCTTAAACTGTCACCACATCGACCTATTGTGACGCTATGGATATTGTGACGCCGGGAAAAAGCGTCACATAGGTGGCCGTCATAATATGTTTTTGTGACGGTAGGCGCGTCTTAAAAGACATATTATTATGACGTCCTTTGTCGTCGCAAATATGAATATGTTGTGACGCTTATAAGCGTCACATTATTGATTTTCAACTGTTGCAATTATCAATTGTTATGACGCTCATGCCCGTCCCAAAATAGCACTATAATGACCCTTACAGGCGTCTCAATAAGTGTAGTTAGTTGACGCCTATTATGTGTTCTCAGTTTGATTTTTCTCAAAATATTCACATATAATTGTATAAAACTAATTACTAGGAATCATAAATATCAAATTTCAAACATACACATACACAAACACAAAGAACTAGTTATATACAAACTCATCGAAAAGTGTTCGTCAAATGGTAGTTACCCTTTACAACTTACAATGTTTCAAAACAACAAAAATATTTAAATAACTGCTCCAACATCTACAATATAAAATATCTCCCTTCCATAGGTCTCTTGTAAAACTAATACTCCGATGTTTGAAAGCAACTTCGAATGCATCCAAAGGTATAACTTGATCATAAACTCATACCCAATTGTCTTCAATATTCTTTATGCATCCATTGTAACCTAATAAATAATCATAGACCAGTTCAGTTCAAGTAAAAATCTAAACAAAAGAACTTATGATATGGTCTAGAAGATATTATTACCAAATATTATGGGCCAAGCAACTGTTCTATAACATCAGCAATAGTTCTGAAAAATATTATATTCTTCCATTAGTGCAAAATCAATATTATACGATAGATATAACAATAATTGCTATTACTCTTTTATAATCGAAAATTTTACAACCTTAAATTAAAAACACATAAATTAAACACTCACAAATAAAGTTGAATAACAGGACCACAAAACAGGACCATAAAATAAAAGCATAGTAAAAATGGCATTCACCTGTAGTGCTTGGCTCTATATATTCTTGGAGAAACCAATACTATCTTCAACGGATTCAGTCATGGCATTCTTGTTTTGATAAGGAAGCCAAATCTTTTTTCAACCTGAAAAATAGTGCAATTTACAATTAGAAAGCTATTCAACAGGGAGAACACAAACAAGAGAAAATATAAATCAATTATTATTACTCAGTAAGGAGACAATATGAACTGTATCAAATGTGCAAAAATATAATCTACCTACTTATAATTATAGACATTGAAAACTAAGCTAAAAATGAGAATTAATGTATAAACACAATAGTATCTCACTTTTGAATCCAATAGTCAGCTCATGTTGAATTCCACCAAATGAAAATAAATCTCACCTCTAGACCTTTTGCCTGCCACAGTAAGATTTGTATGTTTTTTGGTGGAGTTTCTTACACACTTGATAAGAATTGCCTTTTCAGAACAATAATACGTAAGAAAGTTAAAAGTATACAAGTATTCTAATAGAAAATATAAGAACAAATGGTATCATACTTGCCGGAGGATAACAAGATGCCACTCCACCATTTTCCAATAATACAACTATACGATTTATCACTTCTAAAACATGAACAATAAATACAGAGTTTGGTGCAAGGTAATATGTAAATCCACTTGGTTTCAGACTTGGTACAACCCAAAGTCATCATTCTCTTTCATTTGCACAACCAAAGAACTATTATGAGGGTTTACAAGAAGATCAAAAAAATAAGAAATTTAATGTGATAACCAAGATATCTCTACATCTTCCATTAACAAAACTGACATTTTCCTAAATAATTCACATGAGATGTGAAATATTTATTCTTCTTCATTTATTTAGTCACATTAAAAGTGTTTTTTTGTCCTATACATTTATCCAAAAGAATGGGCAAGGTCTCCAGACTTGAACTTCACTTTAATGCTACTTAATGAAGTAGCGGGATACTAGCTAGAAACTAAGTTTTCGTAGTTTGCTGCTCAATTTATCTACAGAAAATTTTAAAGACAGTATATTATTGAATTGTTTAATTAGAGAAAACTCTTAGGATAACTCATAAGCATTGTAAGACATAAAGGTGGGAAGGCAACTAACTAATGAATAATTCACCCTACTCTGTACTCTTGAATTTAACACAATATCACAACATGATAATTCATATAGGCCCTTGTCTCATTAGCATAAAAGTGTTTTACAGGGTGTTTTTTTTAATACAAATTAAAGAATTATATGTTTTCTATGTAACAAAAGATAAAAGGTAGTCTCTTTACCATGGTGTAAAATTTCATGTTCAAAATTAAAAAATAAATAAAAATAAACTAAGAAGTAAAATTATTCATATTTCATATAAATACATAAGAACTCTAGAAAAATTAACCTTAGTTGTTTGGCATCAAACCGTCGATATAATATCCTCACCAGGAAGTTAATACAGTAATTGATTTTCACTCGCACCACAGTAAATTCTAAGTTTTCATCCCTCCACTGGAAAACAAAGTATCCATGCTTGTGCTTAAGTGTGGGTAATAGGGAACATACAACAATTTGAGTATACAACCAAGTTACATATCAATTTATTCACATAAACGAAAAAAACCCTAATCTCAAAAAACTAGGTCTAACCTTTATGGAATAGCATACGCCGATACTTCGCCTAGAATCAGACATTTCGCGTTGAAGAAAAATCGATGTCGGGATAAGATGAATTGTGAATTTGGGTGTTCTAGAAGATGACTCGTTAATTGAGTATTCGGTAAGACGAAGAAATGGCATACGAAGGATTAGCAGGAGGTAAAACAAAGAGGTTCTGATTTAGGCTGCACAATATTTCAAAGAGGGGAAGTGAATATTTGTTAATAAATTTAGTGGATTTATTTGGGCCGCAACTTTTTCGCATTTTTGACAATTAATCTCACATGTTAAGACGATTCATAAATGTCGTCTCAATATAACCAGCCTATTATGACCCAGTATACCGAAGCGTCATATTATTTATATTCTGAGAATTAAAAGAAAAGAAATAAAATGAAATACTCAAGTACTATGCGGGTTTCAAGTTAAGGCGTCTTAATAAACTAGTTATTGCGACGCTATTTCGAAAGCGTCATATTTGTGCGTCATTGAGCCGTCACCAAAAGCTATTTTTCTAGTAGTGTTAAATTATGAAAATTAGTAACAATACCCGCGCGTTGCACGGGATATATACTGAATTAAATAACTAAGAACATATCACAACATTAGAACATGATTGAGAACTTGGTCAATATAATTAGGTATTAGCAACAATTTTCACGATTGAGCAGTCAAACCTGAGGTTGTATAGTTTGTCGAAGGACAATATATCATCACTTGCCATCGCTTGCTCAGTTGTTTCTCAACATCCTCAAAATTAATATTTGAGGATGCCGTGGCAAGTGTACAAAACCATGTAGTAGATCTTAGCAGCGTCACAAAAAAACCTATATTCATCTCAAAATTTATATTTTTTAATTATAAAAATAAATAAAAAACCTATATTCATCTCAAAATTTATATTTTTTAATTATAAAAATAAATAAATAATAAAATCGTAGATGGATAGAAATAAGAGGTTCCTCAAACTACACACGTTAATGGAATACAACCAATAATTGCTCGTTTCCATCTCTAACCAAGGCACATAATTCATTGCCTTATTTTTCCATTAAAATGCAATACATATTTTAAATATTGGTCAAATAGTCACCAATATGTAGAATCATGAAGCAAACTATTGTTCGGCTCTTCGTAATGATCATAAAATATAAGATTAATGTTTTGGATAGGAAAACTTCCGTTAGCATGAGACTTATGCTCCGGTTAGTTTCTTCTTGTAGTTGTTCTTCATGCTAATCTCAACTCCTCGCCCTCCATGATGTAACTATATCTATACAGGCTGGAAAAAAGAAAAAACACATCCGGTATAGACAATAGTAAAACAATGGGTATTGTCAACACTATTAGAGAGCTAATAAACTAAATTAACATGAATTAGAAGGGAGCTAAAATATAATACATTGATGCCTTTAACTATACTTACATGTTATAGGCCACACAAATTGAAGTAAATTAAGATTAAATGTCTGTATCAGTACCAAGCTAATATAGGACATGAGAAAACTAAAAACAACAAAACTGAACAAAAATTTTTTTTAATGTCTTAAAGAATTTAACATGATATTGTTTTCATGATTTCACAAAAAAAAAAAAAAAAAAAAAAAAAAAAAAAAAAAAAACCAAAACTCCATAGTAACCCTTAAAAAAAATCGAAATCATAAAGACAAAATCAAAAAAGAAGGTTCATGTTTGTGTAGAAGAAAAAATACCATGATGAATGCAAGCCCAAAAACAGCGCGCTGAGAATGGATATGGCTTCGTCATTTTTAATTGCTCCTTGTTTCGACAAACCCTGAAGAAAATGAAAGAAATAGCGAATTTAAAATACAATAGAATAAAATAAAAAATATCGAAATCTTTTCCCGAAAAAAAAAGAAAAGCAAAATAGCAAACAGAAACAACGCAACATAAACCTACACTAATTTAAAACAATCAAACTATATGAGAACGAAAACAACAACCACCTTTCGTAAACAAAAATAGCAAACAACAACAAAAACATGAAATATTGTTTACGAAAATCCAGCAAGAATTCATCGATGTACAATATTTCTGATAATACCCAAAAATATACGGCCAATAATTCGTCGAACCCTCTGGAAAAGAAAAAAACTTAAAAAAAAATGAAGATTTACAAATACAAACAAACGGAGTAATTTAGAAAAACTTTAAAATAAAATCGGCAAACATTTTTATATGTAGTAAGATTTTTCATACGTTAACACAAATATGAGAAGAGTAGTTATGTAAGACATAACAAATATTGTGTTGTTTCGATGTTGATCTACCTTCAGGAGTTGCCAGGCCGTCCATCCTCAATAAACAGTTATATCATGGTTTTTTTTTTTCATTATAGATAAAAGGAAAATAAACAGAATACCTGAGAATCCAAATAAAATCAGCTGTCATAGGTTTTTTTTAGTTTATATGACATCTGCTTCCAAGTTTCAAAAGGGCATATCTACAAACACGATAAAAACCAAGATTTAGCAATCACAAATGTAAAAGAAGTATCACAATATAAAACAAACATAGAGTATGGGGAGAGTATTCAGTACACGAAGGATGGACGAATCAAATCCCTTCACTAACACTTTAATTCATCTCTCTCTCAAAATATCTCAAAATATTTATGGTGCATATTATATTTCTTCTTGGATTTAACATAATACAATTAACGAAATAAAACGAACAAAAGAAGAATAAATTTTCATAAAATCATAAGCCTATTGCGCACAGAAGTAAACGAACAAAAAAGAAAGGAAAAGAGAAGAATATGGATAAACTGATTACTTGATCGTGTTGAATAGGGACAAATGATGGCAGATCGTGTATTAACTAACAGACAGTTATGCATCAGATATATACAAATAATCAGCCAAGAAACCTAGTACCTCAACGAAGTTATTGTGCGTGCTTTAGGCTGGATAAGATCCAAACCTGCAAAACCTTATGTCAAGCACAACATGTTAAAGTAAAGCCATAATCTATGCAGACATATGAATAGAAACAGTAGTGGACAAAAATGAGCTAAAAATTCTTGGTAATCAGATACCGACGATGAAACCCTGTGGGCAACTATTCTCCATCATTGATCTTGTCTTTTTCATCTCAATTTCATCGCTTTAACTTATCTATGCGTATGTGTGTGTTTTATTAACAATATTTCAGATTACACAAAATCTAATTTCTGATAAAAAGTAATCCGTGAGAACATGTGTCATATACACTGAATTGAAGAGAATTTAACAATTAACTAAATTTCTTCAACAATTTTCCTTTAAATTCATACCTGAAATATGGAAACATGGAAAATTCCATTTGAGATTTTCTACGGGAGGGGTAAATAGGGAGTTTCTTCAATCTTCATGGAATACTATAATTTTTGGCTTCGAAACACAAAGAGAAACGAAGCATGTGAGATGTAAAAATGGAGCAGTTTTTATTAGTGCTTTGTTGTTCTTGATACGGCGGTTAGTGGTTTTTTGTGTTGCAGAACGTGCAACAGATAAATAGGAAAACAGGAAATGATCGTGTATTTATCATTAATCATTGTGTATTTAATACTTATAAAAAAATTGTATTTAATAAAAAAATAAATAATAAAATTAAGCTATTCGGTGATATTAAAAACCAATAAAAAGAAGAAAACAAAATTAGAGAAACAAAAATAATGCCCAACTAAAATCGCAAATAAAAAATAATAATTCACTGAAAGGAAATTTAAAACTGCTAATTTATTAATTGACAAAATTGCCCCTAGGTTTAGGTTTAGGTTTAGGTTTTAGTTCAAAATATCTTCCTTTTATATACCCTTGACGTTGACATAGACATTTTATGTAAACTTCCGGCGTTGACATAGATATTTTGACTTATAACCCTAAACCTAAACTTATGGACAATTTTGTCAATTACTAAATCGACACTTCCCTCTTTTTTTTTTTTTTTTTTTTTTTTTTTTTTTTTTTTTTTCTTCCTTCCTTGCGATCATTTGCACATCCACGATCACTGAAGACTAGGGAAACAAAATCCCACGATATTAAAACTACTTATGTCACAAACTACTTAACACACGATATTACCCACGGCTCATGAGTGTGACGTTTTCAATTTTATTTTTAAACTAATACTTATGTGCTTTGTTGTTTGTAGCAATTGAGGCATCCACGCAATAATTATGGAACCAAACCACAGATCTGTCGAAAGAGGTAATGTAATTTCACAGATTATCATTTCAAACTTTTCGCAAATTTATTGCATTTCGCCATATCTTGAATTCAAAGAGCAACCATTCATTGAAAGAGCTGCAAAAAAGCATCGGAGAAGAAGAAGAAAAAGTAAGAATAAATTTGACCATTTTTTTTTTATTTTGAAATCTCATACAATTTCTTCTCACTCTCTTGAATTTCCCTTCTTCCCTATATTTGTTGTTCTGTAAATCGGCCAAAAATTTGTACCAGTATTTGTAAATTGTGTTTTTTTTTCCTTAAAAAAATTGCACTGTTGTGTTTCATTTGTCGGGTTAGGTGTGTATAGATTTAGAGTAGTAATATTTGATCACACATCAGGAATTAGATTTTGAAATTGCTGTGCCTGTAAGTAATCCGATTGTGCTGAAATTCGGTCTAAATCATGCTCCATTAAAATGCTTTCACCACATTCTTTTCCATCGGTGTGCAGTTATTATTATTTATTTATTATTAAACATCTTTGCAGTTATTTAATTAACTATCTAATTTATTTTGGTGTTGCAGGGTTTTTTTGTTTTTTTTATAAATTCAATTGCATATACCTTCATGCTTTATACTTATTACCATCTAAAATACAGATTTCCCTCATCTATACAAGGACCGAGATTTGCTGGTGGAAACAGAAAAAAACTATCACCGCTAACTTTTTGAAACTGCAGAAAAAGGTAGGAGAATTGGAATTGAATTTTAGATTTGGAAGAATAATTAACAAACTAGAAGGATTAGAAGACCTACACAAGCGTAGAGTGGTGCCATGCCTTTTTAGTCTCCTACCTTTTGTTTCTTGAATTTATTTTTATGTTTCTATATTTTAATTCTTTTGTGGCATTTGAGATTTTTTAACAATTTGAGATTGTAGAGTTTGTGAAAATAAATGACATAAAGTGATTCACAAGTCACAAATTTGAAAAAGATGTTGTGCGAAGACAACATGTTTTAATTTGTATTGGAATTAATTATTGTGTATTTTTTCCCTTCATATATATTTACTCGCATTCATAGATTTTTCACTCACTTCTTATATTTTTGTTTCTCGAACAAGTGTCGCAGTTTTTCAGCACAAAGCAGTTTCGATTCCGCAATGTCACACATATTTTTCTCGAATAAGTGGATCAGGTCATAATTCTACTTATTCATCACCTCGAGGAAGCCAAATGTAAGCTCTTCCTTCTTTTTCTTCCTTTGATCGAAATTTTGTGATTTCAGACATTATTTTTGTAATAATCAATTATGTCTCTGTTTGTAGCATTGAGGAACAGGAAAGAAAGACAACTACGAAAAGGAAGAGATGAGAAGTCAAGTGAACAGAGACTGCACAAAATCCTCTTCCTAAACTTGATTGACCGTTCCTGTGCAAGACACAATTTTTTTTTCTTTTCATCATCTATTGTTTTGTTTTCTTAATTAGTTTCTGTTTTTTTTCCTGAATACCTTTTCAACGATTAATTTTTTGTTTCTAATTTTTCAGTTTTTGTTTCGCGCCTATTCTGTTTTTCATCTTCATAAATTTCCGGGTTTTATTGTCTTTAACAAGATTGTGTGAGTAAATATATTTGTTTGAGTTGGTGTCAATAACTCATGAATATTGCAGTTTGTACATTTTTTTTTTCTCGAGGTCAAGAACAAGTTGGGGGCATAATACATATAATTGTCTCTTATGCAAGAGACCTGGCCCCGTGTATTATCTCCTCCTTCCAATTTTGTTTCTGCAAAAATTAAAATTATTCCATTTTTCAATACGTTTTCACTGTTATTCTCCAAATATGTTTTGTGCCACAGTTTGTAAGTCAGCAAAAAAAGGGAGAGATATTTTGTTCAGCACGTGTGATACCTTTTGAGAGTTACGGAGTTGTATTATTTACACTCTTTATAAGAAACATGTGTTCCATTATTTGAAGCTTTTGACAGATTTTGCTAAAAAAAGTTCTCGGTTTCACTTTTTTACTATATACTCCATATAACATGTGACGAAGATCATTAAAGAAACATTGTTTCCCACATAAATTATAATCTTCCTAAGTTGTTATGTAAGTTATCCACAGTCTTCATGAGTGAGCTCCAAACACAATAGAAGTATATTTTTAATGTTAAAGGATAAAAGAACAAATTTATAATGTTTCTCTCACTTTTAGTGAGTTAACCTTAACCGATAGAAGCAGATTGAACATGACATTATGTCTCTTAACCTTCTTCTACTTGATCGTCTGGAACTGAAAGTTCTTCCTTGATTGAATGATCACGAAATTCAGTTTCACTGAATGTTTCATGATGGTATTTGGCAGAATCCTAGCACATTTCATAGGAGATCTCAATAAATAAATAGATACAACATCAGACATCAATCATTCAGGAATTAATATGCAAAACAGCATGATTATGTGCCATATTTTCACTTTTTTTATTCTTGATGTTAAATTATAAGTATATTTTTTTTTAACCTTGCTTCATCTTCTTCGGTAATATTATTGTTGTTACAGTACTATTACTCTCAACCACAGTAATATTGATTCTTTTTTTATTTTTTATTATGTTTACCTTTGTTGACCGGTCAACATCTTAATATTACTCTATTAAACAATAATAATGACTTTTGTTGTGTTAATATTACTGTGCTACAGATTAATATAGCAATAGTACTGTGTTAAACTGTAGTATAGTTGATTTTACTATGTTTAACAGTAATATAGTTAATATTACTGTCAACCACAGTAATATTGTTGTTTAAACGGGGGGCAAAAAGATGTTAAAAAAAAAAATTCAAAAAGAAATGAAAAAAAATCGAAAAAGTCAACGCCGGAGACCGGTGGAAAAATGAGGAAGAGGGAAAAGAAAGTTAACGTCGGAGACCGACGGCGACGGACAAAATTGTCCATAAAATTGTGTTTTAGGTCAAAATTGAATAATTTGTGAAATTTGTAGTCAAATTGAGATTAAATTAAATTAAAGGATGAAATTGGATCATATTAAAATGTGATGAGCTAATTAGTCTTTTACAAACATCTGGACCATATGTGGACTTTTTTGTAAAAGAATTTTTTTCGACACCCCTTTATAAATAAGTACCTATTGATGGGTTTATTTGTAAAATGCCCATATTACACTAATAACTTAGCAAAAATTGAAAATTCCAACAAATTTTGTATATAGATAATGGTTTAGAGATAAGATTAAATATGTATACGATTTAAAATTATGAATATGAAAATATATTTATAGCTACATAAATATTAATGTAAGTTGCAAAACAATACGGTAATGAATGGCCATTTGTTTGGTCTCTTTTAAAATTAACATGGTTTTTTCTTTAATGATATACAAATTCTAAAATATTTTATGTTTTCTAATTAAAATAATATAGTTGAAAGACTCACCACATTTTAAATTAACTAGCATTTTCCCCCGTGCGATTCACGGGATAGCATAAATGCAAATGATGATTAGTTTAATACATGATAATTACAATTATAATAAAATTAATTAGTGATATCGACAACAATATCAATACGGATTTAATACAAACTCATTAAAAAAACTATAAAAACTTAATTGTCAATCATCATTAAATAAATGACGCATATTTTTTTATTAAAAAATAGGCTAGAAAATAATAATAATAATAATAACTAAACAAATATAAATATAGTGGATTATGATTCTGTTAGCCGAGATTTGATGTTAAAATAATTATAAAAGAGAGAGCTGCAAAATAGGAGTTAGAAAAATAAATTTACACATAAATTAATGTATTTTTACAAATATGTCATTAGGATTTCTTAAGTTACCACACGTTTCTTTCTTTTATATATAAGATATTTTACTCATGTTCCTATTATTGAATTTACACAATGATGATCAGGTTAATCCATTATTATATATCTAAGCAATATGAATTTTGGCTTTACCTATTGATTTCTTAGGAATATGTAACATCACATGTTTCTATTAACTCTGTATAAATGTCTAAATTATTCAACAATTTTATGTCCCTTTACGAATAAAAGATGTTAACTTATATTTTTCTACTCACTCGGTTTAGAGTTAAAAATATAAGGGTAAATTACACTCACACTCTCAGGTATGACGAAATAACTT